CCCCTCCACCACTCGGCCTTTGTTCTCCGTCTTGCAGGCTTTGACCTTCTGACCTTTGGGGCTGTACAGCTCCAGACAGAACTGGTGGAAACAGGAACCGTAATCAGAGGTAAATATGTTTAAATTATATTTTCTGGCTCAGTTTCTAGATGATGTTGGAAGTTAGTTTCTCTACCGGTTTGCTGGAGTCCTGCAGCTTTCTGACACAGAGATTCTCCAGAGGGATGATCCCGATCGGGTCTTTATCCTGCAGGACAAACCGAACGTCACACACACACACACACACACACACACACACTGCTGCTGCGCTCTACCAGCAGGAAGCAGAAACTCACCGTTGTGTACTGGAAGTAGTAGAGGCAGCTGTCGGTCAGGATGAACCAGCGGCGTTTCCAGGTCTTGACTCGGCCGCCTGGAGCCACAACAAACGTTCAGAAACGCGCCGCAGCAGCCAGCGAGGCGCTTCGCCGTTGCTGCTGCTGCAGCAGACTCACCCATCTTCAGCAGCCAGCCCTCGCGGTCCGGGTTGAAGAAGGTCAGAGTAAGGTCGTTGCCGTCGTCCTCGGGGATCTTGAAGGGTTCGCTGCGGATGCTGGCGTAAAGTTTCTGGAGGAAAAAACGGAGGCGAAGTCAAAAAAGAGTTTTGTTGTTTTATAAAAGTCACTAAATTCAATACAACCAAAAAAACACCTCAACTTTTTATCAAAAATGTCCAAAATTAGACAGTTTCCTTTCAGAAAATGTATTTTCATAATTCTAACTTGCACAATTATAGGTAATTTTATATTATTTTCAGCAACCAGGGAATTCAGAGTGAAGCTGTAGAGATTGGGTCAGTGTGGAATAAAACTGTTTGCAGATGACACTGTTTTGGCTAAGCGTCCCTGTAGCGCCCCCTGAAGGCAGGAGGGACCAGCAGGAAGGCTTTGCTCTGAGGCGTGTAGGTGGAAGTGAGCGGACCGTGAGGAGGTCGACAGGAAGGTCGGCGCCGTTGTTGATTCCTCGGTTCATGCAGACGAAGCGCTGCAGGTTGGGCTTGTCTTTCACGTTGGGGTTGTGCAGACTGGTGTTGAGCATGATGATGGCAAAAGACAGGATGTAGCAGGTGTCTGTAAGAGAAACCACAGCGCTGCTTTGTTATCACTGCCTCAGCTGCACAGCCGCACCGGCCTATTCAAAGTAAAGGCTTTGTGCAGAAGGCAGTGAGGAACTAATGAGCACAGAGGTTTCAGGCTCTGTTTCTATTGGTCGGTTAAGCAGCAGAGTGTTTCTATTGGTCGGTGAAGCAGCAGATCGTTTCTATTGGTCGGTGAAGCAGCAGAGTGTTTCTATTGGTCGGTGAAGCAGCAGAGTGTTTCTATTGGTCGGTGAAGCAGCAGAGTGTTTCTATTGGTCGGTGAAGCAGCAGAGTGTTTCTATTGGTCGGTGAAGCAGCAGATCGTTTCTATTGGTCGGTGAAGCAGCAGAGTGTTTCTATTGGTCGGTGAGTCGTACCTGTGGACTGGAACACTCCGGGGTTGCAGTCGCAGTAACGCGCCGCGAACGCCTCCATCATCCGATCAATCTTCTGGGCTTCACCTGGGAGCCGGAAGCTCCACAGAAACTGCCTGACAACAGATTTATTCAAACACACATCAAAAGAAGCAAACGCTGGTAAAAAATGAGAATTATTTATGCTGAGAAAATCAGAATAAATTTTAATAAAATGAATATTTAATCCGATTGTCACTAACCTCAGCGCCTGGACCAGATTCAGGTCGGAGAACTCATGCAGAGCCACGAACGCCTTCAGGACCTTCAGGTGCATTTCCTCCCTGTGTGACATTTACAGCAGATCAGATCGACTTCAGGAAGCAGACAGAGAACAGGAACAACCTGCAGAGAAAACTACCAAGCCGATTCATTTCATTTAGGATTTGAGAAAAACTAAACAAATTAGAGGAATAAAATTCAGACTACAGTATTTCAAACTGAAAGGAACAACTTGTGGGCAGGTCCAGGGGACGTGGCTAAATGCTGCTGCAGTAACTCCGCCCACTTTTGGACCTGCCCCCAAAAGTTTCCTGTCCTCTCATTGGTGCTTTAAAGTTTGTAAAAAAATAGAAAATGTAACAATTGAATATTGATGCTATGCTAACGATGCCTTCAAGAAAAATGGAAAATCAGAGTAATAACAACATAAGCATAACTAATATTAGTAAAACACATTAAACAGTTTCAGACTCAGACTCTTTGCCTGATTTGTCCATAAAAAATTTTTAATGGCAAAGTATAAATAAGATTGTAGGACAAGATAAATTAACCATAATTTCATACAAACTGGAGTTTCTGAAGGGAAATATCAAAATCAAAAAGATTCAACAGGCAGTTAAATTATGTTTTTCAGATTTTATTATATTGTTTCATTTGAATTTCTGATTTTTTTTTCCTTTAATTTTTTCCTTTAAATTTATTTATAAATACCGTGGCTAACTTTATATTAGAAATATTAATTAATTTACTGTACTTTGTTTTTTTTGTTTTTTTACATTTTTGAACTTATTTCACTATGTATCAAATAATAAATTTTTATTCATCATTGTATTTTATTAAATAACATTTTTTATTATTTTAATTAGGTTTCTTTTCTTTGATTCCTGACTCAAAGCAGCTTTTTCCCTTTAAATTTCTATTTTACTTTCTAAGCCGTGATAGTCTCTACAGTCAAAGATTTTTTTTTTTTTTTTCAGAATAAAACCTTTTTGTGTGTTTTTGCTTTGACTGTGCAGCACTTTGGTTTTGAAGGTTTTAATAAATTAAACTGGATTGGATTGGTTCATCCAGTTGTCCTCCAGTCCCTGTGACCTTCCTGTTCTGACCTTCCTGTTCTGACCTTCGTGTTCTGACCTTCCTGTTCTGACCTTCCTCTTCTGACTTTCCTGTGGTGACCTTCCTGTTGTGACCTTCCTGTTCTGACCTTCCTGTTGTGACTTTCCTGTTCTGAACTTCCTGTTTTGACCTCTGACCCGCCGTACCGTTCTCCCAGGAAGTTGCCAATGGCGGTCTTGTTAAGCCCCTCCTCCTTGTAGAGGAACTCCGCCACCGGCTCGGCTCGCCACTCCAGGATGCCGTGCTCCACCAGGTAGCAGACGCCCTGCAGGAAAACAACGATTCACAGGAAATGACCTCATACCGTCACATGAGGGTCACCTCATCTGCTGCTTGGTCACTTATCAACCAGAAGCATCATATCTCAGATCTTAAAGGTTTCCTTCTTCAGGTTTTGAGTCACGACTGCCAGGCGTGTAGCTTCAGTAGCGAAGCAGAGAGTGAACTGATCACTTCTCCATTTTGTATCGTGTCAGTAAAACTCGGAGCGCGGCTTGGTTTGGCTGCCAGGCGACGCCTCTGCATCTCTGTGAGGAACAGGATGTGGCTTTTCTTGCTGCTGCGCCGCTCTGCAGGCAGCTCCTTTACTGCATCACACACTGAGCTGCTGCATTGAAAAAACTAAATCTTACTGAGACGTCTGGTTTAGTTTCTCCTGGAAATGTTTCAGTAAACTAGAAATGAGACAAAAGTAACTCAGAAATAACTTGAGCAGAAATAGGAGCTGATTTAGGTCAATAATTCCTTAATATTGATGAAAAGATTCTTCAATATTCAGATTATTTCACTTGGGATAATTTTTCCTATTTTATAAGTGAAATAACCTGCTGACTTTTTTATCATTAATTATTGACTTAATCTCCTAAAACTTGCTGAAAAGCTGCTTCTAAGTCAGTGCTGTTTTATTTCTAGTGTAATGAGACGTTTGCAGCAGAAACTAGACATAAATACTTGGTGAGATTGAGTGTTTTTGCAGTGTAGCTTCAGCTCGATGTGAACCATTAAAACCATTAAAACCAGTTGAATGGAAGCAGAAAATTCCCATTTACTCTGGAGTTACTACTGTAGGTCGGTGACCTCTGACCTCTGGAGACGTTGGAGTCACTGGATGTGCAGAAAATGAAAACTCACCACTTTTGGGTCCATGTTGAATTTCTTTTTCCCTCGTAGAAACTTCCTGTTCCTCACCACACTTTTACTAAAACAAGAGAATAAAAGTCAAGAAATGAACTTTTTTATTTGCTTCATGTTAATTTAAAAACAATTAAATTTGTATTTTTATTTTAAACAAAGTTGAATAAAATTAGGAAACATGAACCACAGGCTCTGAGCTAAATTCATGCATGTTGTTCATTAAATGTGTTTAAACTATTTATTTTAATCCAGCTCCATTGTGCAGGTTTTAAATAATCTCATTCATCAGCTGATGTTCAATTTTCTCTGCAGTCTGAGGTTCAGTTTGCAGAAAAGTGTGTTTGGTTTTGGTGGGCGACCCGCAGCTGAATGCAACATGGCAGTGAACGCAGCGCTTACCGTCAGCCGCTGAACGCAGCAACAAAAGCAAGAGGAAGTACAGAAACGGGGTCACCAGTCATCTGAAAATAAGTTTTAATTTAACACCTTTTCTTTTCTCTGGCTGTGAAACTGACGCCTCAGACCGACTGGCTGAGCCAACAGGCAGAAAACCACAACAGGTCAGGGAGAGTCAGAGAATTAAAACCGAACCTGAAACTATTTTATGATCTAAAAGCCTTACGAAGTGTCATTAAGCGCTCGTTTCTTTAGGAAGAAAAACTGCAGCTAGAAAAGGAAGTGAAGAAAAGCTGAAAATGGTTTCTGATCAAAAATAATTCAAGCTGACACAGTGAGCAGAGTTCAGCTGAAGAAAGGCGCTGGAAATGGCCCAGCGGGCCCAGTTGGACCCGGTGGGACCCAGCTGGACCTGGATCCACCTGGTTCCACCTGGGCAGAGCCTCACCTGTGGCGCTTCAGGTCTGGGTTGCTGGATCCGGCCTCTCCATCATTCAGCTCCAGTTTCAGCTTCTGAGGGAAAAATGGAAACGATGTTTGATGTGAAAACCTGCAGCTGCTTCTGATCCTCAGTCAGAAATAATAAAATGATTTGTTCCTGTGTGTGTGTGTGTGTGTGTGTGTGTGTGTGTGTGTGTGTGTGTGTGTGTGTGTGTGTGTGTGTGTGAGAGCAGGTGTTTTAATGACAGGTCTGGTACCTGCAGGTCGTCCAGCAGCTCAGGTTGGCCGCTGCGGTCGCTCTGCCTCCTGTCAGCCAGTCGGAGCCTGGGTGGCGCTGTGGGGGGCAGAAAGGATTCAGAGCTGGATGACCTTCACACACACACACACACACACACACACACCGCTGGTCTGCAGCGACCAGCAGACCCACAGCCTCATCACCAGCAGACAGATCAGAAACCCGAGGCTCGCCCTCATCCTGGAGGAACTGAACCATTAATGAGATCCAAAAGTCACAATTATAACAGAAACAATAAAATGAGAGAAGTTTCCATAACTACATCTGAAATGTGTAAAAATCCTCATCCTCAGCTGGAAGCAGACAAACCTTGGAAACGTAAACCGTTTTTACCCATGTTCAGGTTAAAGCTGCGTACCTTTGCCCCAGAGGAAGCTGTCTTTTCTGCTGATGGCCATGTTGGAGTGCAGAGCGACTGGCGGCTCACAGGAAGCCCAGCGACGAGTCAGAGCGGAAAAAAGGGCCGGCGCTGCTGCTGAGAAACCCACGCTCTGATGACGCAAAGAAAAAAAATCACACCGTAGAAATATTTTCATCATCTCATCACAAACTTCATTTTAAACCAGCTGTCAATATTTATTATCAGGAAGTTGAGAAAGATTCAGAACAGATCAGAATTAAAAAGGAGAATTTAATATTTTTGGCTCTTGGTTTTGTATTTGGATCGTTTTGGTTGTTTTTCTGTTTGCCACTAACATACTTCCATACCTGCTTCACTCTTTCATTCTTTGCTCCTCCTTTCCTGCATATCTTTGTTTATTTATATGTTTATTTTCACCCAGCTGCTCTGAATTCACTGTCACCTCTCAGAGGTTAAAGGTCAGTCAGATTTTTACCTTTTTGCCAGATTGTTGCCTGAATAACTGTTTATAGTAGAAATGTAAAAAAAAAATTCAAATGTGAATCGTGATTATTTACTACGATTCAGAATCGATTAAAAATAAAAGTAAACTGCTGCAGTCGGCCTCCATTTTGTAGCTACAGGACTTTCTGACGTCGCCATGGAGACGGTACTGGGACAGAAAGCACAGAATGAAGAGCTTCACCGGGGTCAAAGTTCACCAGAAATATGTGGAGCCAAGCCAAGGAGGCAGGTTGTGATTGGTCAGAAGTTTGTTGCCATGTTTGATGATGAAATTAACAGAATGTAGTTTTATTATTATTTATCTTTAGTTTTAAAATCTTTGTAAAATACTTTTATCATCTGATCCACGCTCCATTCCAGTAGATGGCGCTAACTCCCATCTAACCGCCATAAAGAAGGAGAAGAACAGAAGTCGATTCTCCAGCAGCGTCTCTCTCTCTCCTCTGGTTTCTTTCATCCTGATCATTTTCAGCTCAATCGTCCATTTTCAAGACATTCCTGTTTGGATTGTAGCTTAAACTTTGACTGGGCCATTTTAACACATGAACGTGCTTCCATTGTGGGTCTGTACAGTGCTGCCATTCATCACATTGTCAACATCCAAGAATTCCCAAATAAAACCCAAACTTTCCTTTAAAATCTCCTGGTTTGGTTTCTGCAGACAGACGAACATTTGACCATTTTCTGGTTTTTAGTCATTATGGTGAAACATTAATCTGATTAATTTTCACAATAAAAGCTGGAGTTTGATCACTGAGTGTTTGGAGGCATCAAATCTTTTCACTGCAAAAGAGAAGCATCACTGCAGCATGATGCTGCCACCACCACATTCACTCACCAAACATTTTGCAGTCCAGATTATCAACCAAACATCAATTTTTCTGATTTTACTGCAAAACTTTTTACTGAATAATTGAATCTGAATCATTGGTTTCCTAGCTGGATGATATTTAATGTTCTGCTGCTGGGCTCTTTCTTACAGGACGGACGCCATCTGGTTTTCTGTTTGTTGTTGTCATTTTTCTCTCTGCAGGAAGGAAGCCAAGTTACTTTCACTTCCATCCAGTCGAGGCTTCGCTCTTCAAAACAAACAGAATCAAACTTCTGGTCGCTTCTTATATCTCCCCTATGATGGTGTATTTATTCTGTTCTACTTCATATTTAATCCAGATTATGACACAAAAAGAAGAACTGCTGAGGTGCCAAATCTCTGACTTTTATTTTGGATTAAAGTGAATCTTCTTTTTCTGATCTTTGTGGTTTAATCTCATGAATAATCCAGAAGTTTTTAAAATGTTTTTCCTCCTGAAGTCAAACTGAGACTGAGTGGCGTTGACCTCTGCTCCGTCAGATTCGTTCATCAAAATGAGTAATGACATCACTTCCTCTAAATGATTGTCCTCTATAAATAAAGCCAGTGGGGGGTGTGAGGTTAAAGGTCAGAGCTACTTTTAACTTCATGATCTTTTTAAACTATTTTTAAAGTGTGACTTTGTTTCCTCATTTAACTTTAAACTGAATTTAACTCGCTGACCAATCAGGTTGTGATTAACCGCCATGCTGAGGCAGTATTAGTGAGTCTGTAAATATCTACAATCATTTTCTGTAAAATAAATCACACATGGGTTAATATGGGTCAAATGGCAGTTACCCAGGACAGCACCGGGAGAGGGGCGCTCATAATTTAGAAAATAAAGTTTAATAAGTTTAATTTTCACTTTATTTCTTATTCACTTTTGATTTAGCTTGACTATAAATCACTGGTTCTGTTATTTTTAAATCATAGTAAAAAGTAAAAATCAAGAAATATATAAAAAAAAATCATAATGGCTCCAGGTCACAGAAGTAACTCTGATGAATTCTGTTCCTGGTTTGGTTTTCTGACAGTTTGCAGAGCGCTACAAACAATTAAAAGGATTTTATAGTTTAAAGGAATCAAACTGGATAAAATGCAGTGAGAAAAGAAAACCATAAATAAATGTTTTAGTGGAGCTTCATTAAAAGCTGCATTTGTTGGTTTTCATCTCTGAGCTCTCACACTTTATTTGCTCAGAGCGGTGAAGAGAAAAACCAGGCTGGTTTTAGCTAAACAAGGAGCAACAATAACTAGTAACCATGGTAACAAGGAGACGAAAAGTAGGTCAGAGTTCAAAACAACACCCGGAAATCACCCGAAAGCGGAGGACTCTGGGAATAAATTTTAAACTATGAAGCAGTATTTTATTAATATTTTTACTATGAAGCTGTAGAAACGCATCATTTGAAAGAGGCTGCCGCCAACATGGCTGCCGACAACATGGCTGCCGGCGTCTCTAACTGTTCAGAGTTGACCTTCATGGCCGCCGGCCGTCATGAGGCTCGTTACCAACTGCAGCTGCTCGGTTCCGGTACCGGTCCGTCATGTCTTGTGTCCGTAATGAGGGACGCTTGCTTCCTGCGGCTCCACGCCCAGCAGCAGGCTCGTTAAAGCGGATCGGTTACCGAGTCCGGCGGCTCTGAAGCTCCGAGTTCACACATCAAACCGGAAGTTCAGAAACGGCCAGGAAGAGACGAGCAGGAAGATCACAGAGACCAGAAAACAGTTTCCACTGAAGAGAGCAGAAAAGCTCTCAAAATGAAGAAATGATGTTACTGAAATATTTCTGCCTTTTTCAATGTCGGTTATTATTTACAGCAACAAAAACATCTTTCTGTGCGTCAGTAAAAATATTCCAGCTTCAATGCCAGCTTTCTCTCCTGCTCTTTTCATTCTGACACTTTATTACTGAGCAGAAATATTTTTATATTGTAGAAATGTTCTTTATTTTCATACTTTAATGAATCATTGTGACAGAGATGTGTAACTTTACGTCATATTTATCGGTAATGGAAACACTAAAAAACATGCATAATATTTAATTTTACTAATCTGTTGAACTTTCTCTCCTGTTTTGTTTTGATCATTAGAGGCTGAGTTTGTTTTATTGTTTTATGAAAGCTCAGCTTTGAGAATAAAATAAATCTGGTCATCTCTGACTTCGTAATGACGGAGCTATCCGCCTCCGGCTGCAGCACAAAGCTTCCTCTGGTGAAAAGTTGACTTTACATCACAAAGCTCATTCAAGGCCCCGTTACCACGGTAACCTGGCATCCATAATGCTGATGTTTCCTTGAGACCAGAGCGCTTTCAGATCACAGATCTATTTACAGCAGAAGGTGGGCAGCGGACTCATTAGGATGAACTTTAACATGAATGAAATGAGTCAACGTCCATAAAGACGATTTCATCAACTGAAAGTTTATTACTTTTAAAATGAATGAATTCATAATGAATCTGGACTCTGGAGTTTTTAGAAGCTCTTAAAATAAATTGTAGTTTTTTTAAACCTCCAGGTGGAAAATAATCTGGTTTCAGTTCTTCCTTCCTTTCATTTTCCCCTCCATCAGAAATAAACCTCCTTACTTGATTTCCTTCAGCTAAAGTGTTCACTGAGAACTCAATGACTCTTACTTTAGTTTATAATAATGAAATGTTTTGAAGTGTCTCAGTCGGTCATTCACCAGGTTTACGTTGATCAGAAATGCTGAAGGTTCCAGGAACTCAGTGGCAGAAAGAGTTCAGGTCCAAGTTTCAGCTCTCAGGCGGTTCTGCTTCAACTCGGGGAGCTTTTTGGTTCTTTCTGCCATTTTCTCAAAACCTGAAGTCTCATCAGACCGGAGGGAAGTCGGCTCCACCTCCTTCAAATCAAACAAAAATAGTGTCAAACGTTTGTGCTGCAAAAATGTTAATTTGTGCCAAAAACATTAAAGATATTAATGTGTCCAGAGGTCATGAAAGGTCAACCAGCCACATTCTTCAAATCAAACTACATCTGTGTTAATCGACTCAGCTACGGTTGAGCAGCAAAACGTGCGTTTGTGCTGCTTTGAAGATATTAATGGTGATGACTTCTTTAATATCTTTACAATGAACATTTTTGCTGCACAAACGTTTGACGATGATTTTGTCAGATTTGAAGAAGGTGGAGGAAACTTCACAATCACACAAAAGCAATTTAAGACAAATATCAAAACTAGGTTGATAGAAAACAAACTTTAAATACAAATGTATTCATTTCATCATTTCAGTTTGAATTCATATTCTGTGTTTTGGATTTTTAAAGGCTCTTTTAAATGATCAGCCATCGGTGTGGCTGCAGAAGGAAAAGCTTCTGAACTGCAGAGTTTTGTCAGGTTTGGTTTGCTGTGCGATTTCCAACTTGAAAGTGACGCTTTCTACTCTGAAGTTTGACTGGATTTCACTCAAAAAGCCGTTAATTTAGTCGACTCTTTATTGTTTGTATGATGGTCCTCAGAGCACATAGATGAAAAAGCTCAAAAGAAACAGAAACATCCATTACATTCTGAAATTAACAAGATAAATACATTGTGAATAATCAGATTTCCATCCCTTTAAACCATTTATTTCAAAAGTATAAATGGCAAATATTTTATAGTAAAATTCAACAACAATAAATAAAAAGGCATTTTTATCAACATTTTGTTAAATATTTTCAAACATTTATTTTTAAGTCTTTTTTCCCGTTCTGCTTTAACCATTAAATACCAAGTGTATTTTTTCTCTGTTTTCTTATTTTCTTTTTAACTTACTAGCTTGACTTCAATAAGACTAAAACTATTAGATACATCAGAGTCCATTTGCTGCTCCAACGAAATTCAGCAATGAGCAGCAGCATTGTCCTGTCCACAGTTCTGAATCTACATACTACCAGCACTGTTTGCTTCTGATGCTCTCAAACAGGAGTGACAGGTCAGTCACACCAAAAGTACCTGAACTCTGATTGAGTCCACCTGGTTCTCCTCACTAACAGGCGGAGAGGAGCTGCAGAGGGGCCTGGCACCTGGCAGCTCACCAGAACATGAACTGCTGTTAGTTTCAGATTGTTGGCTCCAGGAATAAAATATGTAAAAGTGATAAAACATGTCCTTCCAGTATTAAATCATATCTGCTGATGGAGGGGAACGGCTGTGAGGAGAAATAAAACATGAAGCCAGATTTTATGAAAACAGGAAAGAAGATGAAATCAGGAACTGCTGCATAAATGCTCTGAAACACCTGCAGTTCATCCAGATGTTTTTTTAAGTATTTGACCAAACAGCAGAAAAATATTAAAGTTGATTATCCAACTTATATCCTGCAGAAAAACTGGAGGAAATCTGGGTCTAAATGCCTTCAGATGTTCAGATTTTCCTTCAGAATAATTTCCTGCTTTGAGTCGATCGTCACCAAAACTCACAATCCGACATGCTGCAGTTCTCAGTTAGGTAATAAACTATATACTAATTACTTTTGGCAAAAAAAAAATTTAGGAAGGTGATGATATTAAAATTTTTTATTTTCTGCAAAATTAACCGAAACAAAAGTTTGAAAACATCAGTTTTGGTGGAATTGATCTAATTAATGTTTCATTTCATTAATTGATTTACTGGAATAAAGTTTTCAATAATATTCCAACTTATTGAACCGGTCTGTTTTAATTTAGCAGATTTTCTGCCATCCAGCAGAGCAGACATGTTTGCTGCCTGTTTGTTCATTTCTTCTGTTCATTTAGGAATAATTGGAGCTAACATGCTAACATTAATAAATGTGTTTCGGTTCAAGCAGACCCAGAAGGCGGCGGCGGCGCCACGCTGGACCTCAGCCGTCAGCCATGTTGACCTCAGAGTCACGGGGTCACCGTCTCTGTTCTGCTCCTGCTGCGCTGACGTGATTAGCCGGGCAGGAGGGGAATTAGCTTCCTGTGACCTCAGGGGGTCGGTGCTCTGCTCCACATGTTTTATCTCAATCAAAGGGACGCTAAGTGCTCTGTCTGCAGAGCGGCTTCGTGAGGTCAAGTTCCTAAAACAGGAAGTAGAAACATCATCCAGCCTCTCAAACAGGAAGTAGAAACATGGTCCAGCCTCTCAAACAGGAAGTAGAAACATGGTTCAGCCTCTCAAACAGGAAGTAGAAACATGGTCCAGCCTCTCAAACAGGAAGTAGAAACATCATGCAGCCTCTCAAACAGGAAGTAGAAACATCACTGATGTTGAAACACCAGAAATTCCTGGTGTACAATTTCTATATAATCTAAAAAGATACTAGAACGTCACTTCTTCAAACTAACTAACTTGGTGTTGTCATGAACTGTACGGTGAGTAACTAGTGTGCCTGTCAAAAGTATTCACACCCTTTGAACATTTTCTACTTCTTTGTTTAAAATCGCATCTCAGAGTGGACTTTGTTGGGATTTTTCATGGAGCATGAAAAATCAAACTAACTAACTTGGTGTTGTCATGAACTGTAGGGTGAGTAACAGTCCATGACAACATGAACTGTTGTCATGGACACGCCCCTCCTGTTAGAGGGGCGCATTTCCTCTCTCCTGTCGCCCCCTGCTGGTCAGGAGGAGTGATGCTGCAGGTCAACGACTCGATGCGCTGCTGGATTTCCGTACAGAAAAACTTTTTAAACTAATTAGAATTATAAACTGAGATTAGTTGATCACTATTATTAGCTGAAACTTGTAGAATTGTATTGAAATGATTTCTGTTTTTTAAAGTGCGTTGTGAATTGGTGCTAAACAAACTGATCTGAGTTGTTCTGGTTTGTTTTGACGGTAATCTTCGGGTCATTTCTCCTCCATCTCTCTGTCGCGTTTCATGGTTTCTGGATCATTTCCAGCTGCTGCTCCTCGCAGCTGTTACTCAGGCCCCTAATCAGCCTCACCTGTTCATTGTTCTCTGATCAGCTTCCGCTGCTGATTAACTTATGAAAACCCAGGTCTTCCCACTCAGCTTCTCTCTGTGTAACTTGTTCTTCTCCTGTTTGTTTATTATAATCCAATAAATCTTTATGGTTTCTGTTGTGTGATGGGATGGAAACATGTTGGGAAATGCATCCAGAAAGCAGTTAAAGCTGCTAATTTTAAAGTCTTGGAGCCAGAAATACTCAGACTGAAGAAGTTAAATGAAAAAGTGAAATATGAACTCAAAGTTGTTTCATCAAATGTCTCTGTTCCTGCTGATCCTTCATCTTGTTGCCTGCAGGAGTTTGTTGAAAATTTAAAATTCATTTCAAGTTTTCCATCTTTCACAGGAAACTAATTTACCAAAAGAAGAAACGACTGCAGCTTTTTAAACAACGTGTTTCATAATTTTCTGCTAATTTCTTTCATATTAAGAAGCAGCAGTTTTGTTCCAGAATAAATTTGATCCTGATCTCTTAATGAACTCTTCAAATAGCTCATTTATTGTTGCTTCTGTTTTAGTTTCTCTTGTTTCTTAGGAAAATCTGAAGCAAAAGAAAAACATGATGAGGAATATATTATTTCCCCCAAAGTTATGAGGCTGTATGAAGATAAATAACATGAAAAAGATGCAAAAAAAACTTTTACAAGCAGAAGATTTATTTAACAAGTTGTAATTCACATTCAAATATTGATCGACCTTTTGAAGATTAAAACTGTTCACATAATAAAACCCAGAATCTAATTAACAGATCAGCTTTTCTGTGAAACTTCAACTTGACATTTGAGCAGCAGCAGAGAAACGATGATGAAGGTGGAAATAAGATGAGAGAGAGAGAGAGAGAGAGAGAGAGGGGGAGAGAGAGAGAGAGAGAGAGAGGGGGGGGGAGAGAGAGAGAGGCACTTATCTGCTAGGGGGATCAGAGGAACATGACAACCCGCCTCTCTTTCATTTAGCAGAGAGAAGCACTCAGCGCACCTGAAAATACACACACACACACGCACGCGCACACGCACACACACACACACACACGCACGCACGCACGCGCACACACACACAGGCAGCAGCTTCACTTTCAACAATAATGAAATGAAATCCTGAAACATGATGATTCTGTTTTCTGTTTTCAGATTATCTCAACTAACCCAGTAAAGTAAAACCGTATTTGGTAAAAAGTTTACTGATCATTTAATATCAAAAATTACATCATCAGATTGATCTAAGTATAAAGCTAAATTAATTCATGTAAGCAACAATAAAAACAAAATCAGGCTAAATTAAATGTTTCTAAATTCGTTTCTCTCAATTAAAAACTTTAACAGAAACTGCAGTCTGAGTCTCTGTTTTTCTCAAATGAACATTTGAGTTCTCATCGAAAGTTTTAAACTTTTAAAATCATAACTCAGAAACATATTTTCCTGCTTCACCACAAATGTAGCAGGAAAATATAAAACATTTTAGGAAATATGTAAATTATGGATGAAGTTTAAAAGCATTGATCCAGCATGACAAATAAATCCTGTAAATCACAAAGGGAGCCGAACTGAGAACCAGCTGAGGAGAGTCACTCTGCACCGTCTCCTTTCACTGATATAAAGTTATTATTTTAGAAAATCCACAGTTCAGTCGGATAATTATTTCTGACAGCCTCAGTTTAAGAAAGCACACCTGATAAAATCTAATGTTTTATAGTAGCAAACAAAATAAATTCAACATTTTTCCTTTTTTTACACAAAACCAAAAAAAAAATTTACTAAACAAAATGAATCCAAATTATAAAAGCTGAGTGAAAAATAAAGTATGTTTTTTACATTTTGCAGCATTGAAGTAGAAATGAATCCCCAGTGAACCGAGAGCAGGAGCTGCAGATGTTAGCAGATGCTAACAACTGTTAGCAGATGTTATCGGATGTTAGCAGATGTTATTGGCTGTTAGCAGATGTTAGCGGATGTTAGCAGATGTTAGCAGATGTTAACAACTGTTAGCAAATGCTAGTGACTGTTAGCGGATGTTAGCAGATGTTAGCAAATGTTAGCGGATGTTAGCAGATGTTAGCGGATGTTAGCGTATGCTAGTGGCTGTGAGCAGATGTTAACTGATGTTAGCGGATGCTAGTGGCTGTGAGCAGATGTTAATGGCTGTGAGCAGATGTTAGCAGATGTTAGCGGATGTTAGCGTATGCTAGTGGCTGTGAGCAGATGTTGGCAGATGTTAGCAGATGCTAGTGGCTGTGAGCAGATGTTAGTGGCTGTGAGCAGATGTTAGCAGATGTTAGCAGGTGTTAGCAGATGTTAGCAGATGTTAGCAGATGTTAGCGGATATTAGCAGATGTTAATGGATGTGAGCAGATGTTAGCGGATGTTAGCAGATGTTAGTGGATGTTAGCGGATGCTAGTGGCTGTGAGCAGATGTTAGCAGATGCTAGTGGCTGTGAGCAGATGTTAGCGGATGTTAGCAGATGTTAGCAAATGTTAGCGGATGCTAGTGGCTGTGAGCAGATGTTAGTGGCTGTGAACAGATGTTAGCGGATGTTAGCAGATGTTAGTGGATGTTAGCGGATGCTAGTGGCTGTGAGCAGATGTTAGCAGATGTTAGCGGATGCTAGTGGCTGTGATCAGATGTTAGTGGATGTTAGCGGATGTTAGTGGTTGTGAGCAGATGTTAGCGGATGTTAGCAGATGTTAGCGGATGTTAGCAGATGTTAGCAGATGTTAGCGGATGTTAGCGGATGTTAGCGGATGTTAGCGGATATCTCCATTTTCTTCCTAAGCAACAGAGAAACACATCACCGCTGGTTTGGATGCATCAGGGCACCTTCAGACTCATGAGGTTAAATTTTAGCTTTTTCCAAATTTAACAAACCAGGAAACTAAA